GAAGGGGGGGGGGGGCATGACTTTATTTCTAACCTTTAGGGTAAGCCTCTCATGTGAGACATAAACAATTATTCTTGGGCTCATAGAGTAGAGGGGACTGGGAGGGAAAAGGACCTTCAAAATCCCAAGGTTGCAAACTGGTAGCACACAGGCCGTACTCAGATGTGTTTTGTTTGACCCACACGATGTTAAAAGAAAATTAAATTAGTCATAAGTTCTTAAAGACTGAGAGATTTTACATTAAATATGGATCTAATTTTTCTTGAAAAATTAAATCTGGCAACAACTGAGCCTAAATTCCTGCACGCCAACAACCTGCTGGACCTAAGTAGAGGCTGCCCCTTGAAGGGAGCAGATGCTCACCCTCCAGTTTGCCGAAGTCCTTCCCCAGCCTCGGACCTGCAAGGGTCCTGCTAGCCTTTGAGTTTGCCACCCTTAATCTATAGTAACACCTCATCTGTTGATAAGCAGAGGAGTGAAAATACTCAATCACATGCATGCCCCCAATGATTTCAGCAAGTTCATTCATTGCAGAAGATGATATCATATTTAGACTTGGATGACCCAGGCCCTACTTCTGCTCCACAAATGCCGTATAAAATTTGTACATTCCCTACATCTGCAAAAATTTGAACGGCCTTAGAGATCACAGCAGTTACAAGAGGCAAACAAAAAAGGAGGAAAAGCCTTGAAATCACTAAGAGCCTCAACTGTATTATTCTTTATTTAATTTTCACAACTTTCTGAAATAGATATTATCTCCCATTGCACTCATAAGGAACCTGAAGCCCAGAAAATTAAACTATAACACACAGTCCCACAGGTAGTTAAGAAGGAACTAGAGCTGGGATCTGGGTCTTTTCTATCCCTAGGCTTCCTAATCTCTGTCACTGCTGATAATATAAAGAAAAGATATGGAAAAGATGCTTTCAGGCACCAGATGTAAACAGAACATTTCCAAATAAATCTCTTCTCCGTAGCACTTAGCTTTTATTTGCAGACGGCAGACTTTTTGTATCCATGCCAATACATTTCACAATTTCATAACGGTGGCCAAATTGGGGGCTCTTTGTTGTCGTTCCCTAACTCCCACCCCCATCCACACGTAAGGGTCAGATTCTGGGTCCTGATGGATGATTTGTGTCGTTTTTGTTTGCTTTATTGTTACAAATTGTAAAAATATAATTTGGCCACTGATCTAATATCGTGAAATTTATTGGAATAAATATTAAAAGTTTGATGTCAAAAGAAATCAGACCTCCTTCTACTATTCCCTTCCCTTTGTCCAAGACTTGTGCATCTAACCAGATAGGTTTAACCTACTCAGTCTCACCTTCCTCAGATGATCACACTTCCTTCCGGAACCTCTCAAACTATAGGCACAAATGCCCTTCCTGCCACCTTACTGCTGTTCTCACCACTGATTATCAAGATCTCTCCTTTCTGGAAGGCACTTTTTCATTTTTTTTTTTTTTTTTTTAATATGTCTTTATTGATTTCAGAGAGAGGAAGGGAGAGGGAGAGAGAGAAACATCAATGATGAGAGAGTCATTGATCGGCTGCCTCCTGCGAGCCCCCAACTGGGGATCGAGCCCACAACCCGGGCATGTGCCCTGACCGGGAATCGAAGCCCGATCTCCTGGATCCTAGGTCGATGCTCAGCTGCTGAGCCACACAGGCTGGGCTTCATTTCCTATCTTATGAACTTACAGAAGAGGAGAGTTTTGTTGTTGTTGCTTTGTATTTGTTTGCTTATTTGGGGGTTTTTGTTGTTGCTGCTGTTGTTGTTAAGAAAATGAGAAAGGTGAATATTTTCCCTGAAGTTATTTTTCTTTTCTGCCCCTTTCCATGGTAATGTGAGAAAGTGATATTAAAGTTTGGGTAACGTAAGACTTAAAAGAAAAGGAAATATTTTTGGTTCTCAACCTAGGCTGCACACTGGAATAGCTATTTTTTTAAAAATGATACTGATATTCGGGTCCATTCTCCAGAGATATTTTTAAAAACAGGACTTGGATTTGGCCTGAGTATCAGGACTTTTGAAAACTCTGTAGGTGATTCTGACGTGCAGCAATGGTTACAAACCTCTGGTTGAGAGGAAGGGGTCGTTCAAGAGAAGGCAAAGTCCCAACTGGCGAAGAACTTGGGTGCTTTACGCCTCTGCGCTCTCACAGTTATGTACACTGAACGGCATTTGTCGTGCTCGCCTTGTCCTGTGCTGATGCCTGGACATGGCTTATCCTCACAACAGACTCAGTAGCCACCTTAATGAGGGCCCCTCTCTTTCATAGCTTTGTTTCTCCGCTGGCAAAGTGCCTTACTCTTGTTTGAAAATAATTGGTTGGTGAGTGAGTGTTTGTAATGAAGGCAATAAATAAGGGAGATGAGCGACTGCCAAAACTCGGAGAGGGATAGAGAAAGGAAAATGGGTAAGGTTAAAGGTAAACTGTGCTTTTCGTGCAGATTTTTCAAGGAGACTGGTTTCCGCCCTTCCTTCGATGCCAAAGCCAGCAATAGTGTCGCGTTACTTTACACACGAGTCCCTCGAGAACGAACACCCGCCTAGCACTTTTCCATTCAAACAGGGTTGTACTTGGAGAATTTCAATTGCATGGGTCTAAAATGACAAGTACAGTATCTATTTTGGTTTTTGGTTGTCATCTCAACTGCTAAATGGTTGACTGGATGAACAAAAACAGTAGATTCCAGCGTTTTGTGCAGCCTTGGTATAGAGTGGGCAGTGAATAAATGTCTAATGAATAAATGCATGCCTAGATGTTTTTAAAGGACTGCAAAGCAGCAGAGGAATGCAGTCGTTGTTAGAGCATTTTATAACTATGAAATTATGTTCAACTACTGAGTTGAAAGCGGCAACAGTGTTGAGGACAAGCGTGCATGTCGTTATCGACACCTGCATTTGCTCGGATGCTGGCCATTATTTTGCCAGAGCATCACCTAGATGACACTTTTTCACGCAACCATGTGCAACGCTCAGTGAGCTGATGCCTTGGTGACGGAAGCATTCCTGGGAGAAAAGAGTAAGAGTTGGTAAAGAAACTTCCATTATCAATGTCATCAAACGTATCTACCTGTGGGATAGTATGTAAAATAACTTCTTTAGGAGGATTTAAGCCTTTGATTTGGGGCAATGTAGTTTTTACAGAGTGGGGCCAGATGCCTCATCCCATGTTCCCTGACCCTCACACACAAAATCGATAAAAATAGGTTTCTTTATTGAAGAAATTATCTCAATTTTATGACATAATTTAAGCCAATGGAAAACAGTACTAGCTCAGTGCCTCACACACACTTATCTCTCAGGAAATTTCAATAAAAGGGAATGTATGCTAAGATACTGAGGACTTCCATTGGGTGAAAACATCAAAAATTCTTTCTTAGTGGTGTTGCCATTTACCAGTCCTTAGTTAGAAAATTAACCTCATGACCAACTCTGAGTCGCTTTTCTTCATTAGAAAGTCAATCAGAAGAGATTCCAAAGTTCAGCCTTAGCTAGCAAGACTGCCTTCTTTCCAGAACAGAGCCCAGAAGTTCTGCTTTTCTTCTTCCTAAGAATGTTTTTCTTTGCTGGCACAAGCAAGTTGCATCAATATACAAGTAGCAGTCATTAGACTAATAAAAATAATGAGGTGAAAATGAAAAGAA